TTGGAGAGATGTTATGGAGGCATGGATTTACAAACTGACAGTATTACCTTTAACAACAAAATAGTGTAGTAGGTCATAGCAGATAGGCGGATTCATAGACCGACAATTTAACTGCACTTGTATAATAGCGTAGCAGTTGCATAACTCTTACATACGATCACACGGGGCGAGCAATACCAAACGTGACACAACTCCCCAGTCAGTGTAATCAGGTGAACTTTGATTGACGGCATCATGGTGCCACGTTTCCCTCTTGCTGTTTGTTTAGGATTTTGTGTGTTTTCCCGAATGGAGAGTTCCTTTGTTTGATGTTTGATTTTACGGTGTTTTGAGGTCCTGTGCGTGTGTGAAAGTTCCCGGTGTCAGTAATATCGATGATTTTTTTTATAATGTCTGCGCTTTTCTTTACTTGTGATGTTTCCTCTTGCGTGACGTAATGTGTGTGAAGTGACTCGTAGTGGCGTGGAAATCCTACACCTCGGAGGGACTGAGGTCAACCACGCTCCTCCGTGGTCACTCCGCTCTTAACCTGTTCCTCGCCGTCATCTCTTCGGGTCCCTCTACCCTTCATTCTCGTCTCGCTCAATCTGGCTGTCAGCCTGTCTTTTGAACTGTTTTTCTAGTTGAGTTTTCGAATAAACTTTTCTACCTCTGTGTATGTATGTACACACTATTCACAAACACATACATAAATATATGTTTATATATATATATATATATATATATATATATATATATATATATATATATATATATAATATATATATATATATATATATAATATATATATATATATATATATATATATATATATATATATATATATGCGTGCGTGTGTGTGTGTGTGTATGTGTGTGTGTGTGTGTGTATGTGTGTGCGTGCCTGCGTGTGTGTGCGTGTGCGTGTGCGCGTGTGTATGTGTGTGTTTGTGTATATGTATGTATGTAGGTATGTATATGCATAGAAATAAAAAAAAATCTTGCAACATTAGAACACGGACACATGCAAATGTATATGTATTTTCTCTTCCTATTTTCGTTTCCAGTATTTTGCCCCAATCGGCTTTGCCAAAAGGGGGAATTTCACCAAGAATATGCAATATAAACGTCACGCATTCTTGGGTTTGCTCTTTCAGCCCATCATACGTCTTACCCGATGGATGATTGAATCACATGATTATGCAGAACACAGTAATATTTTATAAGATATTTCATACGAGTATCAGGCAAGGTTCTCAACATCCCCGGGAAGAGAGTTCAACTCGGTGTAACATATGTGTTTGATTTTTGAAATTTATTTTGTATCATATCACACTGGAATAATTATCAATCATCATAACCACATTAAGAAAAATATTATCAAACGTTAGATTACAAAAAATGAAAACGCATATTGATCATAAGTGTAATCACAGGTTGAGTTGGCGCAAATCGAAAATGAAATGACTTGTAACGGATCTGAACGAGTTTTCCTCTCCTTCGGCGCAGAGTGACCTAACCTTGGGACTTTTCAGATGCATACTGTCTAACTGTCTTTTCGGGGTTGTTGTATTAATAATGATGGTTATGAAAGCTATAATAACGATATAAAAATTATAGTAATGGTATGATAATGCTCTTGTTACTACTGTTAGGCCTACAAGTAAGCTGCTAGTAACAGTAGTAGTAATAAGGATTACTATAATGATAATGTCCATTATTATCATTATTATTAGTACAGTTATTCAACATCAACATAATCATCATCTTTATCTTCATCATTATTATCATCCTCTTCTCCTTCATCATCATCATTTTCATCTTTCTCTTTATCTCCATCTTCATCATCATCACCATCAATAACAGAGTTAATAGCAATTAAACAATATATACATGTATATGTATATATATATATATATATATATATATATATATATATATATATATATATATATATATATATATATATATTGCCATGTGTGTACGTTTTTTTTTACCCTTAATGCATACCACGCATACTTAACATACACTACTAACAAAACATAGAACTGAAAGTGTCATTGGCAAAAAGATCTTAGTTGACATAACAACTTTGGAATTTCATAATTAAAATGTCTGGTAACACTGCGATATACACTATGCAGGGACGTGGACGTGGCGAAGGTAGTTTAATAAAACCGCTTTTCATTGTGTTGATCTACCGGCAGTGGGACAGTGATGAGTGACAGAAGGGTTACTTACCGTGAGGATTGTCATATGGCAATAACGACCTATAGTGATTGGAGTGATGGTGAGGATTTTGTTTACGGTACGAATATCGGTAAAATGCTGATATAGTGTCATAAGGGTGGATGATGAAGTAGGATCATTTATAATACTATGTTAACAGCGAGTAATTGTGATGTGAGAGATGGAGAAGATTAGTAACATAAGACATATCGCCGGAGACTGGTGAATTTGATAATATGATATATCGTCTCTGTGGTCTGATAACTATGCAGTGGATACCCTATCGCTATCCATGATAATATAACGAGAAAATTAACAAACTTTATATGAATATTGTTAAGTCATAGGCACAGAATAAATATATCCAAGGAAGTAATGAATATTTTGCATACTCAGGAAGTTTGAGAAGATTATAACTGGTTTGATATAAGAAGAATCACGGGAGTATCAAATGTCTAAAGGCTGTAACAGTAATCCATACGCTTCCAGCTAATGTGAAAATGTACTTTGTGGTCAGAGGTGTTTCATCGCTATTTATGAATATCACACACACACACACACACACACACACACACACACACACACACACACACACACACACACACACACACACACACACACACACACACACACACACACATACACACATATATATACACACATGTGTGTATGTGTATGCGTGTGTGTGTTGTGTGTGTGTGTGTGTGTGTGTGTGTGTGTGTGTGTGTGTGTGTGTGTGTGTGTGTGTGTGTGTGTGTGTGTGTGTGTGTGCGTGTGTGTGTGTATGCGCGCGCGTGTGTGTGTTTGTGCGTGTGTGTATGCAGGTATACAATATGCACTATCTCCCAAAAGCAAACAAGCAGACAGAGATTTCATGAAGAACACGATGATGTAAGCCAAGGAGAAGAGGGAGCACATTCGATGTCAAGAAAAGGAAATACCTCTCCATTGTTTGCTTTCCCTGGAAGTAACCGCATTTTTGTACAGCAAGGTGAAATTCGTTTTATTGGACGTGAATGTTTTTACGACCGTTTTCTTCATAATAAACAACTGGTGTTGCTGCGCGAAAGGTGCATCGATATTCTACAATTCGGGGATAATCTGGATACGGTTATAGCACAATTATCCTTCCCATTATAGTATTTTTACGCCGTCAAGTCAAAAACATTTCCCATTAATTTTATAAGTGCAGTGTTTTCGGCGCAACGCTGTATTTGCAATTCGGATCAACTCATGACATGTGGAGAATGCCTGTTCACCTGCGATTACGATGAGGATTTATCATAGAAGAAATTTATGGTCGTTTCCTTTACAACACGATTTTTTTCTGAGAAAATAACTGTAACATTGGACCATATATTTCAAATGATATGCACAAGATAATAGTGACAAACAAAATCGTTACACACATGCATCATTTTTATACCATTTTATGAATAACTCTAGTTATCACGATATATCTATTTGTTAGGCTTCAAGTCATGTAAAGGTGGATAAATAAGCTCACATCTAAATTATTATAATTAGCCAGTTCTTATCTTGGTAAAGAATATCACATGATAACTGTGACGAGGTTAGTAGCACATCGGAACCTGTTTCGACACGCCCACTGGGACCACGAGGACGCGCATGTCGCTGTGGTAGGCCTCTTAATTTGTACTTTTGTGGACACGACTATCAGATTTCCTCTTCATTTCACGGGGTCCAGCTCTGGCAATCCGATTTTTCGTTACAGTTCAATGCGTTAGGCTTATTTCTTCTTAAAGGGCGAAAAGTTTCCGTTTGTATATTTCTGCTATTGATTTTATAAGTAAAACACAAATACAGAGAGAGAGAGAGAGAGAGAGAGAGAGAGAGAGAGAGAGAGAGAGAGAGAGAGAGAGAGAGAGAGAGAGAGAGAGAGAGAGAGAGAGACAGAGAGAGAGAGAGAGACAGAGAGAGAGAGAGAGAGAGAGAGAGAGAGAGAGAGAGAGAGAGAGAGAGAGAGAGCCTTAATGACGAATACGACGCACACGTGTCGTCACAGATGGGTAATGTGGAAGAGACTAATAAACAATTTTTCGTGCAAATCTTAAACCATTTCCCTTCAGCACAGCATTTTGCTTATGTTGGTTGAGTGAGAACCTATTGTTTACGAAGATTTCTATATACAAGAAACACAAATTATCATTCCGCACATAAACTCCAAAACATGAATCACGACGTCAGGAGCGACAAAGGATGATACGTTGGTTTCATATTTACTAACCTATTTAAAACAATGTACACAGTAATCACTGTGTAAAATATTCTGCCCTAAATGTCCCTTAGCGATATTCTAATGTCATTTTAGGGCCAACTTCTACGTTATACATCCATAGTTATGCTTCATCCTGATCATGAAAAACTAAGCTATGTTTGCATATTCTGCCCCCAGAACGAACATACCGTAATTTTACATATTGTATAAACACAAGAGTTGTACGCATCCTTTTGTTTACATATTTTCAGTTGGAGGGAAACACGAGATGGATGCTTAAACAACAATCGGCAACTCGACAACTGGATCCGTTGCTGAACAATCTTAGATGAATTTAAATTACTGAGAGTTAGCTTTACATCTTTGCCTATTATGTCCCTTATGTTCTAGCATAAGTAAGTAGAATGTAAAATAAAATAAGATCCGCACACATGTAAACGCCGCTATCAGAAATGTAAAATAAAAAAAAATCATAGTTGGTATCGTCGCATGACCACGAGAGGTGAACCAAGGAACGGCCGGCTGGATGGCTTGATTAGTTGTCAGTAGTGTGT